ATTTGTTGGCAAATTGGACTGGAGTGTCTAAAACTATAAGAATTGTAAGATGTGGTTTTCAGATGACAATCTAGGGATTCTTGGATCTGATCTGTTGGCGGTTTGCTGAAAAAACAATGTTTCAATCACTTTGATATTATTGATTGAATTAAACCAATTTCTCATATATATTCAGACTACCTTTGTTTTCATCAAATTCACTAAAAAAACCTTTGATGTTTTTCTTTATAGTCTTGATTAGTCTTTCAAATTATTTGTCGAAAATCTTTAAAGACAACTGGAGAGCGGAAGATGTTGTAATAGCTTGAGCTTCTTTCATCAATTTTCTAATATGCCTAGATAATGTTATGTTTAACATATTTCTTTCAGACTGCAAAGCTGACTTTGATCCCTGAGAAAAAAACTAAGGAAAACGAGGATATCTCCATTTAACAAGAAAAGTGGTTCAGTGCTGGGAAGAATGGCCACAATGGAGGAAGAGGAGTCTCCAACTTCAGCCGGTATAGAAGAGAGTAACCAAGTGGTGGTTACAAGAGCCAGACCACAGAGGGCTAACAGTAGGAAAGCTACATATGTTCTAAGTGATGATGATTCTGAAGATGCTGCTACTGCAGCTGTAGATTTGGACAGTGATGCGGCTGAATATTCAATCAGTGATGTTGCTGATGATGACTCTTGACTTCAATTAAGAATAGTAATTCTTGTAGTTCATTTTAGAACACAGCAATCTATACTTGGGAACTACTGAATTTCGTTTATAGCTGGTGAACTTGCTTGCTTCCAATGAAAAGGCAACTTTCTCTAGTGTTTCATGATTAAATCAGTTGGGATTGGATTAATGCATTGCAGAGTTGTAATAGCAAATTCAGTATTAGATTCCTTACCATCGTTGATTCACATTCTTGCTTAGGATGGTAAAACATAAAATTTACATATATTTAATTAAATGAGCTTTAGATATTTTTTGAATCATTGGAAAGGATATTAGTAGTACGAGAATAATACAGTATAGGAAGTATTAAGGAAGAAAAATGACCTGAAATATTGCTAATAATATTGTCCATTTTTTTCAAATATTGAGTACCAAACATGCACCAAATGAATATGACACCAAATGTCATCAATATGGATATCTGACCTCGATAAGATTGATTTCAAAATATTTATTACCATGTCAACTTGAGATTAGTGCTCCTTTTTTTGCAACTTGATTAGGTTTGGTTGTAACCTGGTGCTAGTTAATTCTTGTAACAAGTTATGTACAAGGACAAAAACAAGGACTTGCCAAATTTAATTTAGGTTGTATTTTTTATATCTAGGAAAAAATATTTTATTTCAAGATTCACCAATTTCAAAATTTAAATATTATTTAATACTATATTAACATTAAACCATTAAAATTCATTGAATAATCAGATTTTTTTAATAAAATATTATTAAAAAAATTCTCAAAATTTCAAAGTAAACGCGTTTTCCATTTTTACGTTTTCGAAAACAGTTTTTCAGAACGGCAAAAAGAACGCATTTTCAGAAATTTCAAAACAGACACTCAAAACACAAAACACAAAACGAATTCAAAACTCAAAATACAAAACTGAAACACAAAGAGAACGCCCCCAAGAGAACTTTGTTACAGTGATATCTAAACTAAGTTATCTTAAATGTAATGTTAGTTGCCAATCTAATTTCTCTTTTCTATGTATTCTAAGGAACTGAAGCCATTTTGCCTAACAAAACCTAAAGTTGGACAAATTTGACATTGCATCTTACTTTGAAGGCATATTGAATTACATCAAATGCTCAACCATTTTAGAATAAAATAAAAGAAAAAACATTCAGATCCATGATTTCCAAATTAACTATAGAAAAAAAAAAGTAGCTAGTCGAATAATCAAACTAGGTATAGGCTCAAACTAAAGGATGTGTATTTTTTAAGAATTCTAAAATTTGTTCTTAATTCTATTCAGATCAAGTCTCTTTTATAGTTTCATGCCAAATGATGGGATAAAAGGGGAAAAAAAATTAACCAATTAGTCACAAACACCTAAGTAGTTGATCATAAGCACTTTTCATCCCACCCCCACCTAACCCCATCCCAAATAGTTGGTCACAAACACTTTTCACCCTGCTCCCACGATCAACACCAACAGTGGGTCAGAAATTAACCAAATAGTTGGTCAAAAACACTCAAATTGTTGGTTACAAATACCCATAGTTGGTCACGAACACTCAAATAATTGATCACAAACACTCTCCATCACATCCCATCCTATCCCATCCAACCCAACCTCAACCTCAACACTACACCAATTGAACGTCGAGCCATCTCACCACCACCACCTCCATCAGCACCACCACCTGCACTACCACCCCACACAACCATTGGCAAATTACCAACAATCACTCCACAACCACCTGCACCACCACCACTCCACCATAACAATTAACAACCACCATTTACAAACTGAAAACAAACAAGCCACCAATAACAAAACATTGTCGAGGTTATCCCACATCGATTGTGGAAGGAACTAGTGGCCAGTTTATAAGTGTGAAGGAAAGCCTCACTTCTTGAGCTAGCTTTTGAGGTTGAAAAGGCCCAAGACCACCCAACACTGGTATTAGAGCCCAGGTTATCAACAATTATCGGTCCAACAATCCACAGGAGGTACATGTTTGCTCCCACCTAGGACTTGATGTGTAAGGGTGAAATTATTGAGGTTATCTCACATTAGTTGTGAAAGGGGCTGGTGGTCAGTTTATAAAAGTGAGGAAAAACCTCACCTTTTGAACTAGCTTTTGGGGTTGAGAAGGCCCAAGACCACCCAACACTGGTATCAGAGCCCGGGTTATCAACAACTCTCAGCCCAACAGCCCACGGGAGGTACGATTTGCTCCCACCTAAGACCTGATGTGTGAGGGTGATATTGTTGAGGTTATCCCACATCGGTTGTGGAAGGGGATAATGGTTGTTTATAAGTGGGAGGAAAAGCCTCACCTCTTGAACTAACTTTTGGGGTTGAGAAGGCTCAAGACCACCCAATAAACAACCACAAAAGTCCGACTAAGAAGATCAGATCGAAGGAGGAAGAAATTACATTAAAAACTTAAACCCCCTTCCCATATCGGCACTAGACGCCATCGCGTCTGGCCATAGGTGATGCGCCATATCGGGCACACTGATTGGTAACACTGCTATTGCAATAACAGTAGTGTCGACGTCGTTGTTGCTGCAACATCAACGCTGATGTTGCCCTTCAGCCCCGATGCTATCGAACAACAGCCGGTGATGATTGACAGTAGACAAAGATGTCGACATTTTAAGGGTCGTTGGCGGCTAAACTTGTAGTGTGTGAGAAAGGGTATAGGTATGGTGGATTTGGAAAATTTATTAGGGTTTGTGATTTGAGTGTGATGTGTGTGGAGAATTTTTATTTATATTTTAAATAAAAAATTAACTATAACCTGATTTTTATAAGAAAAAAAATTGTTATAATCTTATTTTTTAAGTTGAAAATTTAAATGTAGGGATGGCTGTAATTTACCCAATATCTAATTTAAGCACGCCCATCTAAGTAATTGGGCCTGTCAACTTTGATCCTACACGATCCAAATTCCTTTTTGATGATTCAAACATATTTTGACAGTGTATAAATGATTTGAATTATAAAATATATAGACTTGAATTGATAAGTGGATAGTACTTATATGTCCTGAAAATATATGGATAAAAAATAATTTGAGTGTGTATAAACATAAGTCAAACATATGTTCATTGCAATTAAAAAGAGTAATGTTATTCATCCCCACTGGGGTTTAGCCCCCAGTCTATGTGGGAATTACATGTCATTAAATGATATATTCATTTAAATACAAAGTCACGTAACTCATTTAATTGAGTATATCATTTAAGGTCATGTAATTGCCACATAGATTAGGTTCAACCCCAGTGGGGATGAATAATATTATTCAATTAAAAATAAAGTCTAAAGTGATAACTTATTTATTCTCATCATATTAATTTGAACAATTTTTCGTATTTTTAGAGAAAAATAACACTTTTTACCCTATTTTATTTTACCAAAAAATAAGTATATCATGTTTTCGTTACTAGTAGAAAACTATCTTATATTATCTTGCATAAATCCAGAAAATATGATGATATTGCATACACACTCTAAAATTCATTTACTTATTAAAAAAAAATCAAGGAGTAATCGAAATTTTAATTTTTAATCTGCAAGCACATTATTTGCTTACCTTACATATATCACATTTAACTTATAGCTCCTTTTTGCAAGAGCAAAACCCTTCTAATTGAGCTATATTTTTCAAGTCAAATGGAAGATGTATGTACTACCTAGATTTTTTACAGGTCCAGTGAGCCATTCTCAATTTGAAACAGAAACTTTCGATTTAAATTTTTTTTAGTTCAATCCTAACTTTATCCTTAACAGTGTATAAAGGCTATCGACTTCACGACCAAAGGTATGTTGTGCTAGATTTGACTCCCTAAAACCGGGTATGAAGAAACTCATATTGCTCATAATAGGAGGCGCATCTAATGAATTAATAATGGGTTTTTTTTTTTTTGGGAAGGCACATGGTATCTAAATATTTTATTAAGGTTTAAACTTTATATACACTTTTATTAGTTAAATAATAAACATTATGGGTTTAATACAATACATAGACATTTTAGCCACCGACTGCCAGCTCTTAAGCCACTATCTCCCATCGCCCATCATTATTAATTAATACCGTTAGGTTTGAATTATTGCTGGACAAGGAATTAGAATGTCGATTTATATATATGTTTTTTGAAATTATTAAGAAAAAGTTCATATGATGTTGTGAAATATATTTGAAGAGGAATTTGCAAGAGAAGCTAATTGGTCATGATTTTGTTTTATGTGCATTTTCATGAAGAACGGTACAAGTAAATTTCATGAAGTATGTTTAGTGTTTCTCTTTGCCCTTCTTACTAGAATAGTCTTAAGATGTTAAAAGGTGAAAAGTCGTATACTTCTTCGAATAAATCTCTTGCAAAACTAAACCTTACTCGTTTAATCATCTTATGTTACTTCGATCTCTTAATTTATCTATTGTATTACGTTAATTACGAAAGAGTTATCAACTCTCTTAAAAAGTAACATAAATATACAATGCATTACAAATTGGTGATTTTGACCCTTTTTTTTTTTTTTTTGTTAATTTTAATAATTTTTTTTTTTTTTTTTTTTTTTTGGGAATCGTACTGTTCATTTTAACATGAAATAAAAAAAAAAATTTTTTTTTTTTTTTTTTTTTTTTTTGTTATTTTTCTTCCAATTTTACCATCTGTAAAATAATTATTTTCAAATCTACCCTAAAAAGGAATGAAATTTAAATAAAAAGAAAAGAAATTCCTCTTAAAATAAATCTCTCTCTCCATTCAAAGCAACAATAATAAGTTCGAAGGTTAGTCCACACACAATAGGAAATGATTGGATAAACAATTGAAAGTCATATTGAATTGTAAAGAGTGACATATGCATTTACTTCATATTGTTTACACACTTACATTTTTTCATATATGGCATATTTGTGATTTTATTCTTTTAAAAAAAATTAAAATCGATAATAAATTCTCAATTATAGGTTGAACTATTTTAAAACTCACTATTAAAAGTCAACTCAAAATCAGATCGCTTATAAATGCTCAAAATTGATACTTTAAAAAACTCGTAACCATTACGTCAAAACTCACAAACAGGCCCTAACTTTTCATAATTAATCCGCAACAATTATTTCTTCAATTGTCGCATGATAACTCAAAAAACTTCAAAATTGTAGAAATTAACTCCAGTTGAGAAGCAAAATCAAATGTCATGTAATGATTTAACAAGACTTTAAAGGTTTTTGCCGTTCTAAGGATTTGCTAACTATGTATTAGCTAGAATTTCTCATTGCAAAAATGAAGTTTATTTTGAAAGTGGCAATGAGTATTGACAAAGTTTAGAATCTTCATCTCACTTTCCTTCAAATAAAATTCCACACGGCGTGTGGACCAAACAATAATAAGCTTCAGCAAGCATACGCTGACTTCAAGATTAATTTGTCTTTTAACAAAAACAACACGTTTCAGCCTATCTTTCCAACGAAAAATCCACACTTTTCTTCTCCACCGCTTTGGCTTTCATTCTCTCTCCGACAATCACCGGTATTTCAAGAACGACCTCAAGAAAACAGAACAAAAGCCCACTGTCGGCATATACAGATTCAAATCTTAAAACCCACAAAAAAATGGATTCTTCAGAGCAGTGGCATAAGAGAAAACGCATATTCAGACAGTCATATTCAACGTGTTCTCCACTGTGCTTTTTCACAGTAAGATCTTTTGTTTTGTGTTCTAGTTTTCTCACTTTTCTTTGTCTTTTATCATATACAATTCCCTTTAATTCTTCGGCTTTCCGGCCTGTTTTAGTTGTTTCAAGATTTTCCAATTCTGCTAAATCAGTCCAAGATTTTCATAAATTGTCGATGCCCATAAAAATAGAGAACCGAGTTCTGTTTCCTGATGATGTTCTGTTGTTGGTTGCTGGTGGAAGGAAATATGGGTTTATAAAGAAGAGTATTATTGCAGAATTAGAATGTGTTTATTACAGTAAAAATGTACTGGATAATGCTATTGTTGAGAAGGAGAATGTGCTGTCTGTAGATGAATATGATGAATTTAGGTCAATTGTGAGATGCCCAATCCCTTCAGTGAATTATTCGACAGTCGTAAATTTACGGTGGCCGTATAAAAATGAAAATTTGAGGGAAGAAAATGGATTGTGGATAACTGAGAATCAGACTATTCATTCTTGGGAAAATGTAGCATATGGAGCTGTTTTGGATGGGGAAACAGTGGTTGTGTTTGCGAAGGGTTTGAATTTGAGACGGGCTAGAGAATCCAATCCGGGCCAATTTAGTTGCCATTTTGGTTTAGGGAATTGGGAAGTGGATGAAAGGTTTATGTTCACCACAAAAGCTTTGGTTGCTGGTCAAGAGGTTGTGAGATGTTCATTGCCTAGGAGCATAAGAAAAAATCCGGATAAGGTGTCGGGAATCCCAGTGACTATTGGAATGACACCCCATGTTCGTGCTCAAGGTCATGAACGCGCACTCTTGCCGTCTGTGGCAAAGATATTCGATACCAAGTCCGAGCAAAAGAGGAAGGGGGAAGGAAATTACGAGCTTTGTGTGTGTACAATGGTGTGGAACCAAGCTTTTGCATTGCGTGAGTGGATTATGTATCATGCTTGGCTTGGAGTTGAGAGATGGTTCATTTACGATAATAATAGCGATGATGGAATAGAAGAGGTTGTTCGGGAACTTGACCTTGAGGACTACAATGTCACTAGGCATGTGTGGCCGTGGATCAAAACTCAAGAAGCCGGTTTTTCACATTGTGCTCTCAGAGCTAAACATGAATGCAATTGGGTTTCTTTTATGGATGTAGACGAGTACTTCTACTTCCCGTATTCAACGCCACGACACCAAAGATTTAGAGAATTGGGTTATGCAGGACAGAATTCACTTCGTACCTTGGTCACAAATTTTTCATCATCATCGAACACTATAGGAGAGATCAGGACATCTTGCCACAGTTTTGGACCATCTGGATTGAATTCACCTCCCACACAGGGCGTTACAGTGGGTTACACTTGTCGTCTTCAGAGTCCCGAGAGGCATAAATCTATAATTCGACCAGATGCACTGGATTCTACACTCCTCAATGTGGTGCACCATTTTCACCTAAGGAAAGGATTTGAGTACCTTAATCTCCCCGAGAGCACAGCAGTACTCAATCACTATAAATACCAAGTATGGGAAGTTTTCCGATCGAAGTTTTACAGGCGAGTTGCCACATATGTTGCTGATTGGCAACAAAACCAAAACGAAGGTTCAAGAGACCGAGCACCTGGGTTGGGAACGGAGGCAATTGAACCACCTGATTGGCCACTGAAGTTTTGTGAGGTTTGGGATACTGGATTAAGAGACTTTGTTTTGTCAAACTTCGCTGATATTTGGACCGGTTTGCTGCCTTGGGAGCGATCTCCTTCACGGTGATTTAAATCGAGAATTCTTGGTGCTTGATCGCCATCAAATCTAGTATCTAAAGGAGAAAATTACATAAATAGACAATTCATTTTTTGATTGTTTCACCATTGTATCTGATTCTTTTGTTCTTGAATATGCAGAAAGATAGAGATTTTTTCAAAATGTAATTCAGGATATTTTCTGAAAAATAACTGAGTCATCCTTCAGTTGGAAAGATGTTTTAAGACAGTAACATAAATGAACATAAATATTGCAATCCTTGATCTATGTCTAGTAATGTCTGATGCTCTTCGGTATTCTCAGCAAATGGAAGGCCATGATTATCCTAACAAACCCTACTTCTCTACAGAATCCATACAATATGATTTTACGAAGTAATTTTTAATCACAATGGAGCGTGCTAGTTCATTGTTGTAGAAAATGTTGTAGGGAAAACAATTTGACAATGAAAAGAAAAAAGAGCATAAATCTAAAGGAGATAAAAATGAAGCAAGGTATGTAGTAACAAATTCTTTTTAAGATACATGTCATCTCGTGCACACGTGCTAACAAGATGAACGGGCGTCTTTTTCTCAAGATAAAACAATTTTATTGTGCTCTTCTTGATCGAAATGACCTTGTCGCCGAACGAAAATTTGATTGTACTTTCTGTTGGATAATTGTTTCAAAAGCTTTACGAAACAGAATATCGGATTGAGTACCGGATATGCAGAATAGATAACGTATTTGCAGTAAGTTTAAACACCATATTTCCTCATATCATTTTGTATACAAATTTGACTATAACAGATTTAATTATACATAACAGATTCATAAATGATTTATAAATTTCAGTAAATAATTAAACGAGAATTGCAAAATACTAATATTAAAAACGAATAACAAGAAGGAACAAAAAAGACTTTTAACCCGATGCCTGTGTTACACACAGTTTCGTTAAAAAAGATTTGTCCCCTCACCGTACGTGCTTGAGGTGTAATTTAAGCATCTGCTTCCCAAGATACAACAGTGGAATAATAGAATCTGAGCACCACAGATTTTACTCCGGCGAATTGAGGTAGAACTCGAACAATATCACCACCAGACTCAAACAGTAACAAAACTTGAACTGTATGCAAATGAATATTCAGATGAATTCTTGTACTGAAAATTGGGAAAAATCGAGGTATATATAGACTTTGGATCTTGTGACTTGCTCACTTACTTCATGGAAATTACAACATGAGTTTTAGGAGTTTCAACTGTTTCAGAAAATAAAAAGTCAGTTGAAAAATAAAATAAAATGTAGCAAAACGTAGGCTCTTCTAAGGGGCTAATTTTTGGTCAATCTGGCCCGACATTCGTGTACGCAGGTGGCGCCGCACACAAGTTCAAGGTTCGATGCCTATTCCGGTCCGTGATTTGCACCCCCTGCGTGCGCACGTGGAGAGAGCATCTGTGCTACACATTATTACACCATTCTAAAGTACAATCTTTTATAAAGTGGTTTTGGTTTTCATCCACTTCCTATGTGGGACAAACTTATTTTAGTTTTCCCACCCACATAAACCCCTTTCACATGACATACTTTGAGCTTCAATTTCTCATTCACCCGAACATCATTTTTTACAAGTAAGTATATGATTTCGATGTACTTACGGAGGAGAACACAAATCAACTTTCATCTTCCAAAATAGTCAAACGGGTCCCGCTAAAAATTTGTGCCAAAGTCACCCAAAACTCAATTTTTTCCAACAATCCCCCACATGAATGAAAATTGGGATCGACACATGAATGTGACACATGATGACTTGGTGATATAGTTCAATTGTTGAAACTTGCATAGGATAGGTAGGTGTTACCCTTTGAACCTTCCCTTGTAAAAGCATATTTACTTTACTAGCTGACCAGTAGACTCGATGTCTTTGAACTGTTCTGTCGTTTATGTAAACGATGATATACTCCACACAGGATTCTTCCTAACACATTTCAGTTCTCATTATTATGTTCGTTTTGGCCATGAACATATGCTTGGTTCTGTGAGAGTTCACAAGAATTTTGCCCCACATAATTCCCTTAGAAGCGGCCCCACTTCTCTCTCACATAGATGATTTCTTATTACAAGTAACCCGCATTATTTAGCTCGATTTTTTACGGATAAGAATCATTAAAAGCCTATTACTTATCCTTCATCTTTACGGGCATCACTATTACATCATAAGAATAGACATGGGGTAATATCCCTCACAGTGATTCTATCAGGTCATTACAATTAGGTTGTCCCTTTGAACCTAAATCTTGGGATCTCCAGTCAACTAGGTTGGATTTTTCCTTTGTATTAACTTATCCATTCAAGGGCTTAAGTCTCATTCCTCTTGATAATTTTTCAACTAACTCTCTATTTAACCCTTTGGTTAGCGGATCTGCAATGTTATCCTTTAACTTTACATAATCAATAGTGATAATTCCAATTGAGATAACTGCCTTATGGTATTGTATCTACGACGTATATGTCTAGACTTACCATTGTACATGTTACTCTGTGCCCTTCCAATTGCTGATTGACTATCACAATATATGCAAATTGTGGGCACAGGTTTTGACCATCTTGGAATATCCTCTAAGAAGTTGCGCAACCACTCAACCTCTTCACCACTTTTATCTAGAGCTATAAACTCGGATTCCATAGTGGATCTGGCTATCACTGTTTGGTTAGAGGATTTCCAAGATATAGCAGCACTTGCTAATGTGAATACAAATCCACTCATGGATTTTGAGTCTTTTATATTAGATATCCAATTAGCATCACTATATCCTTCAACGACCGCTGGATATCTTGTATAGTGCAGTCCAAATTTACGAGTATATCTCAAGTACCTTGGTATTCTTACTATTCCTTTCCAGTGATCAACTCCTGGATTACTCGTATATCTACTTAGTTTACTCACTGTGTAGGCTATGTCTGGTCTTGTACAACTCATCAAGTACATCAGACTCTCAATAATTTTCAAGTATTCTACTTGAGATACACTTTCATCTTTGTTTTTGGATAGATGTAGACTTGTATCTATCGGAGTTCTAGCGATTTCAGTATCATTCTTACTGAACTTTTCTAGAATTTTATCCACATAATATGATTAGCTTAGAACAAGCCCATCTGATATTCTTGAAATTTTGATTCCAAGTATAACATCAGCTAAACTCATATCCTTCATGTCAAATCTCGAATTTAACATATTTTTAGTGGATTTAATCACTTTATCGTCACTACCAACAATAAGCATGTCGTCAACGTAAATACATAAAATGACATAATCATTTACAGTATCTTTAACGTAAACACATTTGTCACACTCATTGATTTTAAAACCATTCTTCATCATGACACTGTCAAATTTTTCGTGCCATTGTTTTGGTGCTTGTTTCAGGCCATATAATGATTTCACCAATTTACAAACCTTCTTTTCTTACCCTGGAGATGAAAACCCCTCAGGTTGTTTCATATAGATTTTTTCATCTAAATCTCCATTCAAGAAGGCAGTCTTAACATCCATTTGATGTATTTCAAGATTTTGCAGAACAGCAATCACAAATATCATCCTAATAGATGTTATTCTTGTTACTGGAGAATATGTATCAAAGTAATCAAGGCCTTCTCATTGTCCGTGGCCTTTTATTACTAATCTGGCCTTTTACTTTTCAATAAATCCATCTACTTTCATTTTTCGTTTGAAAATCCACCTGTAGCCTAGTGGTTTACTTCCTGGAGGAAGATCTACTAGCTTCCATGTATGATTTTGTAAAATGAAATCTATTTCACTTTTAATTGCCTCTTTTCATTGATGTCCTTCTGAGGAGTTCATGGCTTCTTGATAGTTTTGAGATTCACTTTCTAGTATATAGGTGAGAAAATCTGGACCATAAGATTTTTCTATTCTTTCCTTTTTGCTACGTTTTGGTTCAACCTTAACCTCCTCTTCTAGTTCTTGGTCCTAACTATTTTCATTCATAATCTCATATGTCTGTTTAGAAGAGCTTGCTTCATTTTTAGACATGTATGAAAATACATGTTCAAAGAATAAAGTATTTCTCGATTCCATTATCGTGTTTTTGTGTATATTTGAGATTTTAGATTTATACACAAGAAATCGATAAACACTACTGTTTTGTGCATATCCAACGAAGATACAATCTACAGTTTTCGGGCCTATCTTCACCTCATTTGGTGTTGGGACAACCACTTTAGCAAGACACCCCCACACTCGTAAGTATTTATAGGAAGACTTTCTTCCTTTCCTTAACTCATAAGGAGTCTTTTCCAATTTCTTTCGGGGTACCTTATTTAAAAGGTAATTTACTGACAACACAGCTTCCCCCCACATGTTCTGAGGTAACCCAGAACTTATTAGCATTGCATTCATCATTTCTTTTAAGGTGCAATTTTCCCTTTCAGCAACACCATTTTGTTGCGGTGAATAAAGTGCGATGGTTTCATGTATGATTCCATGTTGTGCACAGAATTCAGCAAACGATACTTCATACTCACCACCTCTATCACTTCTCAAACCTTAATTTTCTTGTTAAGTTGATTTTCAACTTCATTCTTATAGAGAATAAATTTCTCTATCGCTTCATCCTTACTTTTTAGCAAGTACACATAGCAGTATTTTGTGCTATCATCGACAAAAGTAATGAAATACTTGTTGCCACCTCTTGTTTGTACAAATTTTAAATCACATATGTCACTGTGAATTAAATCAAGTGGTTCTGTATTCCATTCAATTGATTTAAATGATGACCTTGTCAATTTTGCCTCAACACAAGTCTCGCACTTATATTTGGAATCAATATGGAACGCAGGTATGCAATTCAAGTTAACTAGTCTACGTAAAGTATCACAGTTAACATGTCCTAGTCTACCATGCCACACATTGGAAGACCCAAGCAAGTAAGTAGAAGAGTTTACTTTATTCATTTTTGGTTTCACAACCATTACATTCAATTTAAACATACCATCGGTAACATAGCCT